TTGCTGTTCTTTATTTTCCACTATCACAGGGTATGTTCTGAAAAAGCATATTGATAATTAATCTATGTTTTCATCCTTACATATATGTCTGAAATTCTGAGAGTTGGGTCTCTTACATTTAGTTAGGAATTACCCCAAATATGGTGTGTCTGTAACTAGTAAAGGCAACCTTAAATGTCCCTTGGTTTGTTTGAAAATTTACAAGATTCCCAAAGATTAGTCAATCTGTAACCTGAAAGAGTGCTAGAGCATTCATCGGATTCCTAGTCCGGTACAAACCATCTGCCTGTTTTAATGGCACTTATTTCTAGAGGAGCTGTTCCTCGCTCGCTCGCTTGTCCATTCATCCGTTCCCTCCCATTCGTGAATTCCTTCCTGTGCCCTGCTGTAAGCCGGCAGCAACCGAGCTGTGAGCAGGGCAGATGCAGGGCTGTCTTCCAGCACAGCCGGCTCCGCAGATATTTGCCGTGGAAGATACGTCCCTGTATTCAAGGCCTTCTCTCTCTAAAGATTTACAGTACTAGAAAAGAAATTTCTTCTGTGGTGGTGTTGAGGATGGTGAACTTGGTGTAGAGAAGTTGGGAGGAGAGTTGGCAGAAGGTGAAAAGAGGGGTCTCCATTCCTCTTGTGCCAATCGCAGGTCCTATAACAAAGTTCAGGGCATAGACGGAGCTGTAGATGCCACCAGCTCTGCCATCCCCTACAGTGTAAGCCAAACATCCCTGGACAGGGGAAGCCTAAAGATTACGTCATGGGGCTGATAAAACAGATTCAGATTTTAGGAATTTCAACCAATCACCTGATAGTATGTGCCTGGTTCTTTAGCTAATGTAAAATAATATTTTGTCTTAAAAATAGTGTGCTTTTTTTTGGGAATTGAACTCAGGACTTTGTACTTGCCAGGCAGGTGCTGTGCCGCTGGGCTATATCCATGGCCCTCTCTTACAAAATAGTAAGAGACCCATCTCTCAGAATTTCAGACATATATGTAAGGATGTTTGTTTGTTTGTTCGTTTTGTGGAACCAGGGGTTGAACTCAGGCCCTTGCGCTTGCCAGGGAAGCACTTACTCCCCTGAGCCATCTCCCCGGCACACGGCAATGATCTTGATGTGAACTCTTCCTGATATTTTATGAAGTATCAATTGGGTGAAAATAGTAATTCAATATGGATATTTCAAAGAAAAAAACAGTATTTATAACTTTTTTATTGAGACTCAAAAAAATTCTGACTCACTTTTTTTAAAAAATGCATTTCTTCTTTTTCTTTTTCCATTTCTGAGTATTGTATCCAGGGTCTTATATGTAGGAGACAAACATTTTAACCCTGAGCTACACCCTCAGCCTAAGTTTCTTCTTATTTTCCCCCTACTTTATTGAAATATAGTTGACAATTAAAAATAGTGTATATATATATATTGTACAAGTTGATGACTTGATACACATGTGAAATATTTGCTATCATCAAGGTAATTAGCTGGGTGTGGTGGCACATGCCTGTAATCCCAGCACTGAGGAGACTGAGGCAAGAGGATTGTTGTAAGTTTAATAAGATGACAGAGTGAGCTCAAGGCTAGCCTGAGCTGCACAGCAAAACCCTGTCTCAAAGAGAGAGAGCAAGAAATCAGGCTAGTTTTCTGCCTCTTGGTCTCTGTCACCTCTCCCTCCCTTTACCCCTCCTCTCTCCGGTACTGAGATTGACCCCACGACCACCCGTGCTGTACCACTGAGCCACACCGCAGCCAACCTGTCCGTCTTATAAGCCGGGTTCAGGTTTTTGGGAGATGAAAACCCATGGACTTCACTATCGGGAAGCACATCCAATGAACATAATAGAAGTATAAGTGAGCGAAAACTAGTGTCTGAATATTGTGTTAGATATCATAAAACCTCTGAGTATAACCTTTTATTCTTACTGATTTCTGATCCTAACTCCAGACTGATACTTAAAATGCTAACAGTTCATCACACCAATGTAAACCTGTCAACGGTTGGACTCAAGGCCTTAGATCTCCTCCTCGCTTCAGGTAATACACGTATAGGTAATGTGACTCAGTGAAAATATTTAAAATCTATTAAATGTTTTAATTTTATTAGAATCACAGCATAATGTGAACTAAGTATCAGTGAGTTACAATAAGTTTTTTGTTTCTGTCTTATCTCTTGTCTGTATACATTATATCTCAAAATTCTTGTCCAATATCTTGTTATTATTATTATTATTATTATTATTATTATTGAGACAGGGTCCTTCCATATAATTCATGTTGGCCTTGAACTCATGGTGATCGTCCTGCCTCTGCTTCCTCAGTGCTGCAAATTACAGGCATGTACAACCACACCTGACCAATATCTTGGTTTTAAAGATTATCTTCTCTATATTATTGCCAAATCTTTATTCCTAGCCCCAGCTTTGCTCCTGAAATGTGGTCCCATACTTCCTTTCCCACTAGCTTGATGACCAGCCATGCCTTTGCCATTATTAGGTCTTTCTCCATTCACATCTTTGGTATTAAATATATGTTCCAGGGTATGCTGTAATACAAATATTTAAAAAGTAGATATCATTACTTCCTGACTGCTTGCTGGATGTCAGAATTCACAAAGCTGCACATACTTTTTAATATCTAATCCTCCGACCTCCTTTGAGATGTGCATCATAATTTCAGGTTTCAAAGGAGAAGTAATGATGCGGAGAGCAGTTGCTTTAGGGCCGGGTCCGCTGCAGGTGTCGGCTTCTTTCCCTGGGCAATCTTCTGCCTGGAAGATAAAGGACCTCAATAAAGAATACTGCTGGGGTGTCCAGGCTGTGGCCATGTTGTGGTGGCCTCTTGAGGTCCCACAGTTCTGAGAAGCAAGATTCTACTCCTTGGGGACCTCACTGGGAAGGGCCGGGAGGAATCTGTCCATGTAAAGGGCCGGGTTTTGAGTCAAGAGAGCTTTGTGTGTGGAGCTGCAGAGCCTGGGAGGTCTCAGAAGAGGCTAGGCATGTAGCAGGGACTTGGATGTCCTCGTTGGCTCTGTGAAGGAAGAGTGTAGGAGAGAAGGACGAAAGAAGGTGAAGACCAGTGTGGGAAAGAAGAGGGGCAAGGCTGGGCCATACCTGACCTTGACCTCAGCCTTCCATTAAAATAATATTCCCTGCTAACCATTTTAACTATGGTTTGTGACTGGGGGGGCTTTGTCTTCTCTGCCTCCTCCACTTCCTTCTCTTTTTGTCTGCCCTGTTTGGCAATGGGCAAGAAGATAAGGATTTATGAACCTGAAAAGAATCTCACGATGCTAGAAAATATAAAAGTCACAAACATGCAGACAGGAGATTTGACCTGTGTTCTGAAAATGAATTAATTTTTCCCTCATTACATTACAATGTTTGGACCATTAGGAAAGTTTTACATGGATTTTAAAGAGGCAGATTTGTGAATCACCTTTATTGTCTGGTTATTGAATAATTGATCTAACAGTTACTGGGCACATACAGCTGTCCTGGGTGTTGGAGGAGTCCAAGGCAGATGAAGCACCGTTCTCCCACTCTTGCAGTTCCTACCAGCTTGAGGAGGAAATGGTCAGGGCAGGGAGCAGTTTGCCTGAGGCACATGGCTAGTTACAGTACTGGTTTTGCTGCTTGGTGTAACTTTTTGCAATGATAAAAATGTTCAGTATCTGGATCACCCAATACCATACTTTATAGGTATGTGTAGCTTATGAAGATTTGAATTATGAAAACCTTAATTTTAATTTTGTTTAATTTTAATGAAGTTAAATTTGAGTTTGGACACGTAATTAGTGATTGCTTTGGTGGACGCACAGGCACCTCGATGGACTGAAGAATTTAGAGGAATAATAATTGAAATTTAATAAGAAAAGGACTGTAATAGAGATAGGAAGAGTGGCACCATTGGGAAGCTATACAGGAATTAAGAGCGTGGACGTGGCCTGCCTACACTTTCATCCAGCTCTGCCTCCAAGTGGTTGTTAACCAAGTTCACCTTTCAGTCTGTGATTGCTGAATTGGGGTTGCACGCAGCTCACAGGATGTGGTCACTACTAAATGTGGCTAGTGGGCTGCTTCCACCCACAACTGCCACAGTTGTGCTCTAAGGGCATGTACAACTCCCATTGCTGTTCCAGCACTTTCATTTTTTTTTTCTTTTTACAGAATAGGCATTGTTTCTCCAATTATGGCAGAAATTTGTTAGGTAAAGTTGCATATATACATCTGGTAATCTTAGCAACAAATTTGAGGGTAACAATATATAATAAAACAGCCATTGTTAGTTTTCTATTCTTGTTTTGAAATTCCATACCATTTTTACTGTTTTATGTGCCTTTTTTATTATTGTCTTTGTTCTTGTTATTTTGTTTTGTTTTGTTTTTCTCTTTAAAATCAAAAGAGAAAGAAAAGAAAAAAGTAAAGGGCAAGTGGAAAGGGCTGTTTGAAAAAGTTTGGTGGTGTCTTACTTTTTTCTTGTTGGAACAAAATATCCAACACCCAAAGTTTGTAGTTCGTGGAGGTTTCAGTCCATAACCTGCTGGCTCCAAGGCAGGGTGGCATGACACAGAGGCAACAGTGCCCAGTGGCCGAAGACAGCAAAAGCAGCAAGAGCAAAAGGGAGAACAGCCTTTTTCCCTCCCTTATATTGTATGCAGGCCATCTGCCCATGAGCTCCAAGGACCCTGGTCCCCGCTGAGTCACTTATTAAGCTTCTCAACTTCTCAGTTCTTAAGTTGGCGCAGTGTATCAGTCATTACAGGTGGTGAGCAAGGAGTTGAGCACATTTGGAGTTGAAACAAGCATGGAAGGGTGTGGGTTGCGGAGGTCCATGTGGCCACTTTGTGAAGGATTGTGTTGATCACACTAAGGGGAAAGAGAGGGCCTCGGGAGATGGCAGCCAGGACATTACAGAGTCCCGTTTGTCTTTCAGAAGTAGAATGAGGGGAATAAACTGGGTGGGTAGAGGTATGTGCAAAGCAGAGAAATTAAGGCACTTGGTTGTCAGCATTGTAGGTGAGCTATGTTAGGCTTCTGAACATCATAGGCATGAAAGGGTCTTGTTATAAAAGGTGTTTTTGAGATACTAGGAGATGACTCTTGGAGGCTTGGTAATGAGTTGATTTGTTGGCTAAGCTGGGATGACAGAAGGAAGGCAACTTGGTAATTACTTTCTGAGAAACTGTTAGATGCTGATGTCACTCATGAAGACTGAGCTAAGAAGTAGTCTGGAGTGGGGACCCCATGTACTAGTCAGAGGGCAATGTTTGCCATATGGGTAGAGATTTGTTTCAGGAGGGTAGGCCAAGAAGTGTAGGTTTTATGTGTCCTGACAATCAAAATAACAATAAACTGAGTGAGGAAATTCCCTCACTTAGAAGGACCCTTAGAGTTTGACAGGGCTAGCGTTTGGGAAATTAAGTGGCCTACCAAAAATCAAAGCACACAAATGATTCATGGCCACTGTGTAAATGTCACTGCTCCGACTGGTGTAGCAGCTACGTGCTGAGGACATTTTCTTCTCTTCTTAATAGGAAAAATCACGCTGCTGATACTGCATGAAGACAGTGATATTTTCTTGTTAATTTTTGATGCCATGAACATGTTTTCAAGCAATGATGAAGTCCAGAAACTGGGATGCAAAGCTTTACATGTGCTGTTTGAAACTGGTACTAAACATCTGTCAAATTTTTATTTTGACAAATTTATAGTCATGGGACATGTGGGACATAATTATGATAAGAAAGAGGTATCTAAAATCATACTATTGGTTAATGAGTGAGAGCTGTCTGTCAAGGGTAAATAATGAAATTCATTTAACTGAAGTTCAGAAATCTTGCTTGTTCCTATGGAGTGAATTTCACTCATAGGCCATAAATCTTGCCATTGCAGTAGCATTTCTTTCATTGCTTTGCACAAGATTCAGTTTGAAAAGCGGATTGTGTGGGTGTCAAGAAAGAAAAATAAAACTGTGAAGCCAAGCATAGGTTAAGTGTGGGTTTATGGTTTTCAGACATCGCTGGAGATTTTTAGAAATGCCAGAGGCTCTGTATGAAGAAACAGGAGGTTGACAAAATTTCCCTTCGGAAAAAGACTTCTGCGTATGTCACAGCATTGCCCTAAGATTGATAATAGTGATTACTATGTTATTTTAGAGTTGGTTGGAATCTCTATTCAGTCCTCCAACCGGCTTGAGGAGGAAATGGGTCAGAGGAGTGAGTGGTTTGCCTGAGGGCCCGAGGTTAGTGACAGTACTGGTTTTGGGAGTCCCTTTTGCATCATTCCGAGAAGAACTGTGTCAGAGCTCGGAATCAGCACGGCTTATGCAGGCTCTGTTTTCAATATTTGTTTACCCTTCTAATTCCTGGTAGCTCCAGAAATGAGAGAGACTATCTGCTAGGGTTTAACACCCTGCATGATTCCGAAAGGAATATACAGCAGAGAAAAATGGATGGGAAAGTGGATAAAGGAAACTAAGAAAGTTAAGTCAAGCTTGCAATTTTTTTTTAAACTTTTTGTATATTTGCAAGGAGATGGGCCAGAAACTTGGCTGTTTGAAAACAGATAAATGTTAGTTATAAAGGTTTTTTTTTTGAATAAAAGTAAACTCAGAAGAAGCAATCTGACTTGTGGGAGAGCTGAGAAAATCCTCCCGGGGTTTCCCTAGATGAGACAATAAGCACATTTTGTGAGGAGTACACGTGTATGTCAGTGAAAATGAATCTGAATAGCCAGAACATCGTGTCCCTGGGGCCCAGCCCCATGGTGAAGGCGCTTAGCAGCAAAGATAGCTTACTACTGTGAGCAGGGGACAGAAGAACTTTGTGTCTTCCAAGACTTTTCTGGAAATGTTGTATCTTGCAACCGAGCATTTGATAAGATTTGGGCAGGATGAAGTTTGAGGTCTGCTGTCAGGAAGGGCCTGTAGTCCTCAGAGATGCCGCTGAGGGGCACATTCTTGTTCGTGAAGAAGAGCATGGCTGCTGTTCCCGGCCTGTGCTGCCCCTCCAGGACCTATGGAGACGGACCAGGGCAGGGCACAAAGGAGGACCTTAATCCAGGTGTGGAGCTGCCTGCTGTCATCCTGCACTCTAGGGGGCAACAGCAGGAGGGCCACCAGTTTGAGCCCAGCCTGGGCGACTCAGCAATACAGAGATTTTGTTCAAAAAAATAAAAAGTAAGGGGGTCGGGGAGATGGCTCAGTAGGATAAGCTCTTGACTGGCAAACGCAAGGATCTGAGTTCAATCCCCGGTTCTGCAAAAAAAAGTAAAAAAAGCTGAGGTGGAGCTCAGCTTCACAGCTGAGGGCGTGGACATCATGGGTTGGATCCCCAGTATCAACAAGATGGAACCCCCAAAATCTAGTAGAAAGATTATCAATGTGGAGATGTGGAGAGTATTAGACTATTAATGTAAAGAGGGAAAAAAATGTAAAGAGGAAAATTTTCTGGTTTTTCTAGGAGACTCACTAATACTAAGTTTAATTTTTACAATGTTAGTTAATAAAATTAATGTTCAAAATTGAAAATATGCTGTGGAAACTACTATGAAATGAAATAGTTCTATAGTTTCTCTTGTTAATTAGAAGAATCTAACCAACTTCACATTACATTATATGGACACATTAGTATAAAATTTATAAAATTAATCTGGATCACAAAGAATGCTGCATTTTGTAACATTTTGGTTGGCACCATTTTCAAGCTAAGTAAACCAGACTTTTTATACACATTTTTGAGGTTCTCATGCAATGAAATTCCAAATGAAACTCACTGACTTGATCAAAAAACTTTAATTATGAAAATTAGTCGTGATGATTTTTTTTTCCTCTGAGAGAAAGCCATTAAGGCAGTGTTTCCAAGTCTAATTACTTGTCATTAGCCAAAGTTCACGACTTTTACTTTTATTTGGTCGTGCTGCCCTGCGGGTCTACCATTAGCCCCTTTCTCTTAAATATTATGAAATTTTTATTTCCAGCAGGCCCTGTGTATTGGCACTGACTAGTTTTCTCTGGGAAATCATTATGTTTTTTCTGCGAATGTGTGGTAACTGGCATCTCTGAACTTCAAAATATAATATAATTAATATGAGGAAAAAATGAAATTGCTTTCAAACTAATAGCTTGTTTACCTAATGTGGAAATCTTAGGAAGGGCTTTTTGCAAAACCTTGTTTTTATCTGAGTAGATTGCATTTGCTGTGTCTCATGCAACTATCATGAATCTACTTTTGAATAAGTTTTACATAATTTTTAAAATTTACACAATGTCTTTTCTTTCATTTTCTTTTTAGTTTCTGAGGAACAACTGACCGAATTTGTTGAGAACAAAGATTATATGATACTGCTAAATGCACTAAACAATTTTAAAGCTGAAGAGGAAATTGTGCTTCATGTACTGCACTGTTTGCATTCCCTAGCAGCCTCCTGTGAGTAGCCTGTGTGCATGATTTCTTCTTGCTTGTGAAAAATTACAATATGTCTCCTTTCTTTTAATGTATGTGGTACAGGGTCTCACTACGCAGCTCGGACTCGTAGTGATCCTCCTGTTTACAGCCTCCCCAGTGCTGGGATTACAGGCGTGTGCCACCATGCCCAGACTCGTGGCCAGCTCAGCACACTCGAGGGCAGGAGCCAGCACTGAATGTGGTGCCGGGGACCACACACTGGTCCCCGTGTTTGCCTAAGCAGATGCTTAGTCTGCTTAGCTGTCTCACTGGTCCTTATATCTCTTTTCTGAACATGTTTTGAAAACATTTTTTAGACTTGCAGATGGCAAATTCATTCGTCAATTTAATTATATTTATTGGGTCTGTTTTGGGACTCTGGACTTGTTTGCTGCGGAATCAAGAGTGGAAAATCTGAGCCTGTTCCTAGCCTTTTTGGGGGTTCTTGGCATGGGGGGGGCGGTTCAGGTAAATACCTGATAGGTTGGAGTGCGTTGAAGGCAAGTGATGCCCAGAGGAGCTAGAGTTAGGAGAATAGAGAGGCAGCAAGAGCCCGTGGCAGAGGCCTGAGTGATGGGAGAACTTCGCGTATGGGGATGCGTGAGATGAAAGGAAATGAATGTGTGCAGTGTGTCCATGCGTGTGCAAAGCTGCTGGAGCGAGAGAGAAGTGTGTGCAACAGCGTAGACGCACACGCGTGCCTCTATGCGCTCACCTTCCCAGCATCTGCATTTGTTTCACTGATGTGGGCAGCAGGAGGGCTTGGTAAGCATCCATGGCCGAGGCTAAGGAGGCAGTGAGCTCACGAAAGGCCTGGAAAGTCTCACGGAAGAGCCTGATCTTCTTGGATTCTCGGCAAGCACCTTAGCGACACTTTGAAATCTAGCCATTCTTTTTTCACATATACAAACAAATCAGAAAAAACCGCTCCCATTCTGGTTTTGAAGTGCACAGTGATGCTTCATAGTTCACGTATTCCCTGTGTGGATTTGTACAAGATACATGCACGCATCTGACTGGCCATGCTTTTGTCCTCGGACACCGTGAGTTGTTTTCAGGATTAAGTGAGTGAGATCATAGGAAAGCGCACCTGGTGTAGACCGAGTGTGCTGAAATCATTCCCAGCCCGAGGACTCAAGATGCTGACATGCGTGGCCTATGTTTATGTTCATTTAGCTTCAGATGTGGGAATCAGCACAGCTTTCTGAAGATTCAGGGCTTCGCTGCAGCAGACTCAAAAACCAGACGCCCTTGTGAAAGAACGTCTTGGTGTTGTTTATGAAAGTGTGAGGTTTTCTCATCCGCAGGAAATTAAGCTCTCGAATGTGGCTGAGGTTGAATAATAACAGTGACCTTACTGCTGTGCTTCAAGTCACCGCTGCCCACGCGCTGAACATGTTCTTCGCTGTCCTCTTCCTGGGTTGTATTTTATTCACTATTTACCTATTTTAGGCCAGCTGCTTTTGGAATTCATTGTTTTCCACCCACATCAGACATAACTCCAGTTAAAATGTGTTGATTCATAATACGAAGGTCACAGAAGCTGCAGTTCAAGATGAAGAAATCCAGTTTTAGACGCTGACTCTACATTGCAGGCACACATTTCTTTTTCTTTTTCTTTTTCTTTTTTTTTTCTTGGCGCATTTCAGTCAGTGCAAATCCTGCCTCACTTCTGCAGCAAAGCAGATGATTGTGTTGTAAAATACAATTTAAACATTAAAAAATATTTTTGAGAAAATGGTTAGTTTCAGCTCTGCTAGGAAAAAAAGAAGTAAAGAGATTTTCTTTTTTAGAGATGTAATTTCTTTGTGTAGGTTCACAGCTCACTCTTTACTGAGCTGTCCCAGTGGATTGTTTTCTTCTCTTCTGCTTCACTTACGTATATTTTAATGCTGTAATTCCCTTCTCCCTCCCCAGTGCCTCCTGCATCTCTCCAGACGCCTGCAGGAAGCTCGAATTTCCTGCCTCCTACTCGGGATGTTCTTTTGGGATGGAGGAAATAGATCTGAGCTGATTTTAGCAGTTCCCTTATGTGACGTAGTTTTGACTTTCCTTGGGGTGTGAAGAAAAGAACCAATACAAAAGCCATTACACAACAGCCTCTTAGGAAGAAAATTTCTTCTTTATCATAGAATTTTAAGCCAACAAACAGGATTAAAGAAACGTTTCCTTAATGCCAAAGATGAGTTCCACATTCCATCGTGTTAGCAACAGACAGCATAGCGTTTTCATAGCTGTTTGATGGAACGTGTTATTTAAGTTCAGAAATGTAGACATTCTGCTGCTATATGTTAACAATCTATATAAGATATGTTTTAGGCACATTTGAAAGAAGGAAATTCTTGCCCTATCATAATTGTGATTTCTTTCCATTTAGGCAATAATGTTGAAGTCCTCATGAGTGGCAACGTCAGATGTTACAATATTGTTGTGGAAGCGATGAAAACATTCCCTGTCAATGAAAAAATTCAAGAAGTGAGCTGCTGCTTGCTGCACAAGCTTACGCTGGGTGAGTTCTGGCCTACGTATTGTCACCGTCTGCACAGCGTGAGTCCCTGCAGCACGTGTGCATTGCCCGGTGATGAATAGGCAGGTAGAGTACCGAGGTGGGTTGGCGGGGGTCGCTTTAAAGCGGTGAACTATTCTGTCACACACAGATGGGCTTTTGAAAGGAGTAGTAGCGATAGATCTGTGGACTGTAAGAGACGTCTTAATCTTACTTTTTGGGGAAGAAGTGGTTCTAAAGGAGTGTCTTATTTTTAGATCTGCACTTAAAATGTAATTGTGTAACAGCTGATACCTAAAAAAGAACAAGTGTAATTTATGTAGAAAGTGTGAAGCAGAAACCAAAGAATTTGGCACCTAACTTTAGCATTGGTGTGCGGCCAGGGCTGGAAAGGCTCCTTCCTGTCCTTGTTTATGAAGGCGAACACTCTCCATCCTGGTGATTTATGAAGCTTTCCCATTTTAAATATACTTTCACTATCTTTTCCTGTTTCCTTAAAATTGTTCATGTGTGATTATTTTTCTGTGTGTAAATCACCAAAAAGAAATCATATTCTATGTTGTCTTCTGTAGTTTTAAGACATGGGCTGCGTTTATAAGTATCGTAAGTATTTTTGCATATAGTTATGTGTAATAATCTATTACATAGATATGCCACAATTTATTTATGATTTTTCTATATATGCACATTTGAATTCTTTATTTTATGCTACTGTACTCTCTTGCTATGTGAATCCAAGACTGAGTAGTTTTTCACATGTTTCATTGCTTTTGGTGCTTTCTACTTTGTGAAAGTAGAAAGCACCAAAGTTGTATCCATTTTCAATAGGACGGTCTTATAAAAATTGATTCTGGGTAAGAATATTTTGGTTTTTGGAGAACCTCTCTGGCTTTATAACCTGTCCTTTCACCATCTTTATGGCAATTTTTGTAATATAGCTAAATTTAATTGCTTTGTGATTGATTTTTGTGGGTATACATTTTGTTAATAAAACCTTTTGCTAAGGTAGTAAATATATTCTATATTTCCCCCAATAGCTTTTCTCATTAGAGTACTAAAGTATTATAATTTAGTTTTTTGGTAAAGAACTTAACCTCCCTTTTTTCTTGTTTTAATATGGCTAGTTACTATCATAACAGGATGTAATATAATATATGTTCTCCCATTTCCAAGTAGTGTGGGATACTAACTATATATGCGTGTTTCTGTTGATTAATTGATTTGTCCAAATCAATATCGTTCTGTTTTAGTCATGGTGGAAATGGGTCAGGTCCTGTTCTGGTAGAACATCTTGGCTTTTTGATGGGCCTTTATTATTCCATATGAATTTTAGAATTTACTTGTCCAATTTAACACTGCAATAGGATATTGACTAGAAACGTACCATCACACAGATCACTGTGAGAATAAATGACATTTTTACATTATGATTATTCCATTAAAGTCTCATACATCATTTTCAGTTATTTTTGGATATTTAGCTTTTGTTATTATTATAAATGATATCTCTTTTTTAAAATTAGAATTTTGAACTATAATTGCATGAAGAAGTAGAAGTGATTTGAGTTTTTTCTTTCCTCTTAGTATGGCCTGTATTTCATTTTCTGTCATCATGCATGACCCAGAATTACTAGTACAGAGCTGAAGAGAAACAGTAGCTAATATATACATATATTGAAATATCACATTACCCCAGAGATACATATAATTTTTATGCTTCAGTTAAAAATAAATTTAAATTAAAAAATTCTAAACAACATTGACAACAAAGCATTCTTTTTTCCAACATGGTAGCTACTTACTATTTGATCTTTCTGCTTGTTTGAGACAGGGCTACGTAGTTCAGGCTGGTCTTGAACTCACTCGATCCTCAGGGGTAGGCCAGCACAGCCAGCACTATTTTATATTTGTCAAATAGGACTTTAACACATGTTTTTGTGAAGGACACAGTTGTACCAACTGGATGATACCTGAGAACATTTTCACAAAGCCCAGAAGGTGATTTGCTAAGCTAGCTATTAGGACAGCATGCCTAATGTCCACTCGCCTGTTTTCCACGGTCTCGTTCCAGCTTGCACGTATTAAATTAAAAATGCAAATTCACCTTAATTCTTTGAAATGAGTGAGAGGAGGCCAAGTGTGGTGGTGCACATCTATAGTCCTTGAACTAGGAGGCTGAGGCAGGAGGATCTTGACTTCCCGACCAACCTGGGCGACGTGGTGACTTAGTTACTTTTCTCTCATTGCTGAGACAAAGTACCCTATAGCCAAAGTTAAGGGAGGAAAGATTTATTTAGCTCACAGTTTGTAGAGGTTTCAATCCATAATCTGCTGGCCCCAAGGCAGGGTAACATGGCACAGGGGCAGTGGCAGACAGAAAAAGAAGAGGGGAGAGGGGAGGGGAGAGGAGGAGAGAGGAGGGGAAGGAGGAGGGGAAGGAGGAGGGAAAGAAACAGCTTCCCTCCCTCCCTCCCTTGTATCTTCTGCAGGCTGCCTGTGCTAGGACGGCTGTAGCACTCACACCCTTAATCCCAGCACTGGATCCTGAATCAGGCATCAACTCTAGATTTAGCTGCCTCCAAAATCCTGCCCCCCTTGACTGCATGAGGCTTCCAGGGACATCTAGACCCAAGCCATCACACATAGCGAGTTTAAGGCCAGCCTGGACTATGTTGTACAGAAAGGCCTTGTCTCCAAAACTAACGAAAGCCAACCAGTCAAACAAATCTAAAACAAATAAAACAACAAAAAGAAGGGCAAGAGAAAAAAGTGGCTTGCTTTGCAAATGGTTTCTCAAATAGGTATATAATGGTACATCAGAGGGGCTTAAGGTTGTACTATGGAAGTTAAAGCATGAAAGGGTCGTGTCCTGTATAAGTGCACATTAGTCTGTAATTGTGTGAAGAGTGAAAAGCCTTCAATTTGGTCTTCAGATGAAGGTGCTTTTTTCTCTCATCTCTTGAGTTTTCTTTGATGACTACAGAATTTCTGTTATACTTCAAAAGGCAAAACTTTTAACTTCTTTACCACTAAAATCAAAACCTAAAGATGCTCCATAACTATTTAACATGTTTGTCAGATTATGTAATTATGGGCTTAGCACGTTTACATGAATAAATGATTTCTGATAACTTTCACCGAGTGGTCTGACAGCAAGGCCAGTCCTGCCGTGTTTGCCCAGGGCCACCTGCTGGTCAGTGGTCAGGTAGCTGGTGCCAGGGACACGGGAGTAAGCGGGGGAGCAGCAGAGGCAGCCCCAGTTTACCTCAGTTGGGAAGAGGAGGGGAGGACTTGTGGAAAGGACCCTCCAGGGAACCTTGCTTGGGGTGAGGGGTGCAGTGGGGTGAGGGTGAGAGGAGCTCAGCTGGCTAACCCGCCTTGGAACTTTGAGGCCAGTGCAAGACATTGACTTTGGGCCTCAGACGTTCTGTGGTGGGGGGTAGCTTACCCTCCCCCACCCCCACCCCCACTCCCACTCTGGGGCCCAGGAGTTTTATTCTTTTAGAAGGCACCCTGGTGACTGTTAGTGACAACTGAACTCCAAAGAAGGAGTCACATCTTTCTGGAATCTGACATCCACATTCTTTCCTCAGGAAGACTTAGTCTTGGATGATAAGACTGAGTATAAAAAGTTAGGAGACTTTTTCCTTAGGGGAATGAGAGGTGGTAAATAATTTTTTTCTAGGATAACCATACACAAGATCAAATAGTAAGGGGTAGACTCCAGAACTCTTTCATTTCTTTGAATGAAAAAGGTGCTTTAGCAAAAGGATTAAATAATGAGTTTTTACAAGTAATCAGCATCTTTCAGAAAGCAGGAAAGTAATTTCATGCAGTGGGTATTGTAGGTATCAGAGAATCGATGTCTCATCATCTTTCTAGGATGATGATGGGGCATAGGCAAAAGCCCCAGTGGTGAAAGAACAGCAACTCCCATTATTTTTCTCATGTGTTTCTATTGTATAATTAAAGTATATAAATGACATCATGGGCAAAACATCGTATTAAGATAGTTGGATTAAAGTAAGCATAGGTTTTAATGTCTTTAAGATGGTCATGCCTACTCCAATTTATTAATTTAAATGCCATTATATATTAGAGACACTGTAATTCTGTGGGGGAGAATTTAGGTAATGTCTCCATTATCTTTTAGGCAATTTTTTCAATATCCTGGTATTAAATGAGGTCCACGTGTTCGTGGTGAAAGCCGTGCAGCAGTACCCGGAGAACGCAGAGCTGCAGACCTCGGCTCTGAGCTGCTTAGCACTCCTCAGTAAGTAGCGTACAAAGAACGTTTTTCGGTCCCAGGAATCCAACTCAGGAGCTTGCGCTTGCCAGGCAGGTGCCGTGCCGCTGAGCTACAACCCTGGCTCAAGGAAGACTTCCGCTGGGTGGTTCGGGTTGCTGAATCCAGGGCCTCGTGCATGCTTGGCAGTGCTTGACCACTCAGCTAAGGCATACACCCTACAAAGAAAATCCCTAGCTTTGCATTTGATGTTGACTGCTAGCATTAGAATGAGAACTTCATGCAGAAAAAGAGCACTGAATACCTCTTCTGTCCTAATGTAACTCATTTTCCAGTAGAAGGTATTTTCTAAGAAGTATGGGCCTCCTTGCTCACGCAGGGTTTGCTTGGCATCATTGGTTTCATTTTTGTCATCTAATCCTCTTCTAGTTGATTTTTTTTTTTTGATACCCTCTTCCTCACTTTACCATTTTTCTGTATGGAATAGGAGTATTATTATGACTTGTATAATATATTTAAAATTACTTTATAATTAACCAAGGCTCCTACTAAAGAATACCTTACTCTTTGATAAGATTTCAGATTATGCAGGGCCGGCCAAATAGCTCAGTGGATTAAAGGAACTGCTTAGGCAGACACAATGGCCAGGGTTCAATCCTCAGAGTGCTGTGCCAGCCCCACCCCCAAGATGCACTGAGACAGCAACTGAGACTGGGCATGGTGGCGCGCACCTGTAATCCCAGCTCTGGGGAGGCTGAACACAGGTGGATCCCTGCGAGTCTAGTCTGTGTAGTGAGACCCTGTTGACGCTGTACTAAATAAAAAAAAAAAATTCAAAATATGGATTTAGAATGTTTATTCAAACTGTGGGCGAGTTATGCATATATGAGTAATATGTATTTTTTTTTTTTTTTACATTTTTCAAGCTGAGACCATTTTCTTAAATCAAGACTTAGAGGAGAGGAATGAGAACCAGGAGAATGAGGAGGAGGAAGAGGGGGAAGAGAAACTGTTTTGGCTGGAAGCCTGTTACAGGGCACTAACGTGGCACAGGAAGAACCAGCGCGTGCAGGTTGGGCTTTCACAACTACCCCAGTTATTCACCTCCATGCTTGCTAGTCCGATCCCAGCTGACAAGAGTCTTTTTCTCCTCTCCCCTCCAGGAGGCTGCATGCTGGGCACTCGCTAACCTCCTCATGTACCAGAACAGCTTACACCAGAAGATTGGAGATGAAGATGGCCAGTCAGTAGCTCTGATTTTATGCCGTTCAAGTTCTCCATTATGTTTTGAATCAATACATATGAAATACCTCCATCATAGCTTGCACTGTTAGGAATATTTCAGTGTAGATGTGTGTGCCTTAATTGTTGCCGGGTATTAGTAGTGAGTATGTAGTAGTTAGGGTCCCCCGCTCTCAATAGTTAGGAAAGGTGTTGTGTCCAGTCATTCCTGAGATGCTGGTGGGCGAGGAGCTCAGTGAATTGTGAATTGTGGAGGAAGAATCTGTTTTCTTGCGGATGGTGGGAAAATGGCCTATTCATTCCTTTTAGGTGTCAGGGATTGCAGAACAGTCTGGGACTCTTTCTACCATGGTCACTAGTCAGCAGGGATCAGGAATTAGATCTGGTTAGAAACCTCCTGCTGTGCATTCCCACCTGCTGTAGCAGCTTCTATCTTCTCCTGAGAGGGTTGTTTGAAGTCGCCAGCTGGTGAGGAGACTGAGCCCCAGGCTGTGTCAGCTTCCTACGGCTGCGTTCTTCCCCATACACAGATGAGAAGCTGGGGTTTCCTGTGCATCAGATTTGCCTCTGGCCCATGTTTCTTCACGTTCAGTGGCAGTGCTGATGTGTGTGCCTTGCTCTGGGTTCCCTGGGACTTAAAATACCAATGATTTACTTTGGTTTTTTATTTTTAATTTTTTTCCCATAATTTTATTGATAAATAGCAATGAGACAGTTTCAAATCAAATTGGTAGGACAGTTTCAATAATTAACACATTGCATACATTCTTCCTAGTGGTTAAGTGCTGTACAAGACATGGACATGATATCCTAACACCATTAGAACAAATCACTCTATTCATTAAGAGAATGTAACTATATATCTGTCCTAACCACTTTGAATACACAGATGCAAAATGGACATTCATCTGTATCCCCTTTTTTGGTTAAGTTCCATTATTTGAATATTATAGGTGTGTAAACTCAGCAAAATATTCTAAAGGAGTCCAGTAGTCCATAATAGTATTGGGTCTTCCGCTTGACTGGCAATGTCAGAAATTGTTGACCAGAGTCCCCCACAGCTCAACATAACAGCATGGCTTTACTTCTTATATTTCGTTTTTATACTTTTCTGCTGGATGGTTAAGACCAAGGTAAAGCAAGACCTATGCAACAAGAGTTGTAGCTTTTGGGTCTGATAAGGTCAGTGAAATCCCCTCAGGATTTATCCTGAGATCCTGTACCTCAGATTGTAGAACCTTTGTCAGTGTCAGCCATGTGGATGAGTCATGGCCATTGCTTGGCCAATGTGCTCTCTGTGAAAGCCTGAGAGAATGTTTTCTTTCCATGTGACTCTCCTCAGGCACATGCTACATCATTGATCACTTTCCTCTTTGGCCCCATAATCTCCTTGATCAGAAAATTTGGGACACTACTGAGTTACATGATGTTACAGTACAAGTTCTCATATGTCCTGAGTCTTAAGTGACCTTGGAAGGCTAGGGCCAAAATGTTGGCTTTCCTTGTGGCCCTCCTTTTTCTCTAATTTTGGTCTGCAAACTTAGGTTGTGAACCATCCAGAAAACAAGTTTATTGTTATTGCCATACAACTTAGGCTGTTAAGCTTAACCTCACTATCTGTCTGCATATCAAATATCTTAGGCGTAATAAGGAACAGGTATTTTTCATCAAGTATTGATATGTTGAACTTTAAGTCCCTACAGAATATCATAAAAACATTTAAAAATTGGAATATATTTTAAACAACGATTTACTTTGGAAACTCAAATGGTAGTATCTGACATCTGGAATCCTGACAGCCTATTTGCACAAAGACCCACTGCCAATAAGATGGAAGCTGATGAAACAGATGCTATTTAATTAAACATTTCCATTTTAAGAGAAACTAATTGTTTTGAAAACTATACGTTAAACCAGCCTCAGAGTAATCCTACAATGATCAGTGTTCTTTTAAGAACTTAGGTTAAGGCAGATTCATGTTGTATTTTATAAATTTCGGTTCATTATAATCCTATTCTTCAATATTCATAGATTTTAATTTAATTTTTAAAATCTATATGTTTATTTGGTATAGAGTCACACTATGCAGCTTGGACTTGTAGTGATCCTTCTATTCAGCCTCCCCAGTGCTGGGATTACAGGGGTGGCCAGCTCGGCACATGGGGCCGGCTCAGCATGTGATGCCGGGATCGAACTCAGGTCCTTGCGCTTGCCAGGCAGGTGCTTAGACTGCTGAGCTATCTCTCAATCCCTCATCAGAGATTCTTAAAATAATATTAAAAGAAAATACATCTGTGAGCATGCATTTTTTGGGGGATTCCATGCGCTTGCCAGAAACTGTACTCAGAATCATGCTTTCGAGGCAGGCGCTCTGCTGCTGAGCCATCCCCGGCTCCTGGACATGCATTTACGTTGCTTTATGGTTTATGATTTCTCCTTTCTGTTTCCATTATCCTATTATCTTATTTTTCACACTTCATCTTTTTCCTAAGAGAATCTTTTTATGTATCTGCTGAGCATTTTCCCTGCTTCTTAGCTTTTAAGAAACACAGAAATACTAATGCCACAGCTTCCATCTTTGTACTTGGAAGTGACGTAAGCTGTCACTCAGATGCCGTGCCCTTATTTATTCTTAGAGTTGCTGGGCTGTGAAGGACTTGGGCTGCCCTTGTCCCCGCTGACCGCCGCTGTCACTGTGCCTCCCTCACAGGTTCCCCGCCCACAGGGAGGTGATGCTGGCCATGCTCATGCACGCGTCCTCCCGGGAAGTCCTCCGCGCGTCTGCAGCCGCGCTGTGCACGCTCTTGGAGCAGAATGGTAAGGGGCGCGCTGCGCTGGCAAGTGTCGGAGACAGTGGTGTGCTTTCTTCTAAAGGCTGTGTATCCTGAAAAACTCAGCCATGGAGATACAAAACTGAGTTACGGCTATGCGGGGTTAGAGGTACAGGACAAGCCTTTTGATGTATGTTCTTGAGTATCATGTCTGATGCGCACAATATATGTTATATTATTTTGCAACGATTGAATCATGCTACATCCTCTTATAATCAAAATCCATATTTTCACATTATCAGTTTTAATAGTTGTGTAGTTTTCCTATATATACCTGTAGCCTGTTTTATGCAAATCTTATCAGTGGACTTTTAGCTTATGTCTAATGGGTTTTTTTTTTTTTTGATCCTATAATAAACATTAAAGGCTTGCTTTTGTATTTTTCCTATTATTTTCTTAACAAAACCTCATCAAGGGGCTGGGGAGATGGCTCAGTAGAATAAGTGCATCCCTAGCAAGCGCAAGGGCCTGAGTTCAATCCCCGGTTCTGGAAAAAAAAAAAACAAAAACACTTCATCAAAATGCATCTGGTTGGAGAGAAAAGTCATCATTCTAAATCCTGGTAAAACTATCAAGTATGACATTTGTATGCTACTTTTTTTTCCCTTGAAAATGATCCTTTACATGTAACTTACTACGGGTTACAGTGCAGCATGATTTAGAAGAGAAGGGACCTTTAGAAGGGCCCTGGAGGCTGAGGATCGGGACTCAGGATGCTCAGAAGCCTGCCTCCTGAGCAGGCAGGACTGCCCGAAAAGAATGGGAGAAAACTGGTCGTGAAAGCCCGGGGAGCTGGCAGCTTTTGCAGGATATTTTTAGAGAGGGAAAAATGGGGGTTGGGGGGAGAGGGAAACCCTGGAAGACAAATCTGTTCCCAGAACAGCGCGAGCACCAGCTTCCGGTGGAGATCCTGGGTGGAGGGACAGGAAGCAGCGCGCGCGTGCTTCTTTGTACTGTTGTTTAGGTCAAACCAGGAGGAAGATGGTGCCCGCTCTTCCTTCTTCCTCATCCCATCTCTCTGGTGGTGGTGTAATAAGAGGCTTGGAGTGACAAGGGCCCGGCGACACAGACAAGGCTTGCTGTCGGGATAGTGAATCAGAGTAGGAGGAGCAGCAAGGGGAATTGCTATTTTTGTATCCTACTGTGCGGTTAAAAGACCCGGATGAGATTTCATTCCAGAAAGTGAAACCTGGACTTTGCTGCTCCTGTATGTGGTTTCTTAGAAAGGAGACACGTAACAGGGGTGTGTTGGTGTTTTATGTTTTCTTTTATCTTAGTATTTTGAGACAAGGTCTTGTAGTTCAGGTTGACCCTGGACTCACTTAGTAGTCCAGGCTGGCTTCGAACTCACGGCAGTACGACTGCCTCAGCCTCCCGAGTGCTAGGATTACAGGTGTGTTTCAGCATGCCTGGCGTGATGTGTTAGCTCCATAATTTTTAGCAACCCAGAAGTTTGTTCATGTGCAAACAAAACAACCTTGATTTTGTGAGGTTGGATTGCTTCTTATTATGATGTCTGAGCATTAGTGGTGCTCAGAATTTATCTTGATATATAATTTCAAAATCAGTTCTCAGTTCCTTCTACTTCGTTAGAGTATTGTATAGATATCTGGTAGATGTGCAGAATATCTTATAAAGGCTAAAGCGATTTAGGATGAAATTTCTGCCTGATGTAGTATTTAAAATGCAAGTCATACTTTGGGTTACTCTTTAGAACAGTGGGTTTTTTTTTTTTGTTTTTTTTTTTTTGTATTTTTAGTAAGGCTCTACAGGGTCTCAATATGTAGATTGAACTCGTAATGATCTGCCTGTTTACAGCTTCCCAAGACCTGGGATTACAGGCGTGTGCCACCAAGCCCAGTCTCAATTGCTATCTCAGCACGCCCTGGGGGGCAGGGCTGGCAAGGTGGGCTCAGTGAATGAACCCCCAGTCCCTGCACCTGCTTGCAGGCACTTTAATCCACTGAGCAATTTGCCTGGCTTTAGAACAGTGATTTTTAAAGTGGTCTTTAAACCAGTTGCATTTCCTGGGAACTTGCTTAAAAATATAAATTGTAGAACCACATACAAAAATAAGGAGTCACAAATGGGAATCGGTGCCCAATAATCTGTGTTATAACAAGCATTTTAGATAAATCTGAAGTACACTGATATTTAAGAAGCAATGGTCTAGGGCCAGGAAGATGCTCCATGGTCTAAGTGACTGCCTGGCATTACAAGGACCCGGGTTCGATCCCGGGTACCACATGCTATGCTGGTCCCTTGCTGAGCTGGCTACTGAGACTGGCTGTGGTGGCACATGTCTGTAATTCCAGCGCTGGGGAGGATGAGACAAGAGGATCACTATGAGTCTGAGCTGTGTAGCGAGATCCTGTACCAAATTAATAAAAATAAAAAAGAAGTAGCAGCCTAGAATAACTTTTATCTTTTAAAATATCTCCTTGAGTTCAATCAAAGGTTAAAAAAAAATCTCCTTGGTTAGAATCCAGCTACTTCTGATGTGATCAAACACAATAGCCAACTCCTTATATCTTAACATGTGATGACCTAATTGTTTTAAAATTGTATTACTTTTGAGGTTTAGCATTTTAGAGGTTTAACATTTTAGAATGTTTATATCACTTCTATTTACTTCTGTATTTTGTTCTATCTTCTTGAGATTGACCATTCTTCCTTTAAAGCACTTAAATCGAAACTTTCCAATATTCCTTTCCTACCACTTTCACAGCATTTAATTGCAATATATAATGTTGCAATCTATGTTTATACAGAGGCTTTAGGATAATTGCTACATAGATGAAAACGTCAAAGCAAAAAAAATGTGTGGAGTGTATATAAAACTCATACTAAAATGTAGCTATTTCTCTACATGTAACATGCTAGTTGTCCAACATATCTATGTATTTACTCAATCTTTGCTGTGGCCTCGTGCCAATAAATGAAACTAGCTTTGGTTCACAGCAGTGCGCTCTGTCCATCCTTTTCCACACAATGGCATATGTAACAATGACAGGATTGTACATGCCGCTGGAAGAAATGGACAGAGCAGCTCAAAACAACCCAAACAAAACCTCTGCGAAGAATTTACCAGTGTGGAAGTACAGAAAATGATACATGTTTTAAAGAAATAGACATTAGTAATCTTTAAATTGCAGAGGGGCTGTGCATGTTCTTGCTTGTGTTTTCCTAAGATCTTAGACTGTCTTAATCGTCTACATTTTTCTTGTCAGATTATACAAATGTGCTTTTACACTTATGACTAACCTCAAGAATACTTTGCAGTTAATTTCAGAAAAATCCTGTTGTCCAAGGGAATATACCTGAACGTGCTGGAGCTCATGCAGAGGCACAAACATTCTCCCGAAGTGGCTGAGAGCGGCTGTAAAATGCTGAACCATCTTTTTGAAGGAAGGTAATGTAGGCTTCCACCCATGCAGGATCTATAGTACGTAATCAGGTGGAATATTATTTCACGCCCCTCTCTAAGAATGAAAAGAAAAACACAAAGCATTTGAAGTGTGAAAGTTTTGCAGTGGAATCTCACATAGCTGACTTTATAGATTTACTTTGTCTCAGCATTAAAAGGAATCCTAGAGACTATAGCAATGCGGCGAAGGTTTGTGTTTGTGCTTTAGGTGTGGTATTGATTACGTTTCAAGAATGAGTATTATGCAGCATGAATTGCAAGGTTTTCAAATTATTGTTTGTGAAAGATGCAAAATTTCACAATCCCTGTGCAGTTTCTAGGTATTGCTTTTACATATCGAGTGCATTATTTATTAATATTCCTTTATTTGAGTTAACTCTGTCGTGTCTTCTCCTCCTCTCTCACCCCTTGGCCATGGGACCTTTCTTCACATCTAGTTCTGGTCCAGAGTCGTTGAGGCTGTGTCTGTTCAGCAGCACAACAGCTCCAGGACTGTCGGTCTGTGATAGGCGATGGTAGGGCAGAGCTACTGGCTTTCAAAACCTTGTTCCCAACATCCATACCAAATCAATCCAGCCGATACTTCCTGCAGGATAAACTCAATATCTTTTTGCAGTTTATTAATAAAAAATTGTAAAGTAACTTTGGCATTGTCTGAGTGAATAGCAAATAAAAGTAGGTTGTGTTGGAAATGGCCATGGGTAAAAAAATAAAGGAAATAAAAAAAATAAAGAAAAGGTACAGAGAGGCAGTGAAAACTGACTTTGGGTCTTGGCTTTGCCACTAGCTTGAGCCAAGTATTTGATTGCTTAACTTGAGATTCCTCATCTGCAGAAAGGAATCATAATAACAGCCTCATTAATTGTCTATGAGCAATGTAAGGATTAAATACGTTCATTTTTATAAAAGGTTTGGTACGATGCCTAGTATATTTTACCTACTATGGCTGCTGTTATGCACAAATGAATTAAGTACATAGAGCATGAGAAATTGTGCCTGTCTACAGACTTGTAAGCAGTGCTGTCAAATTGTTTTACTATCAGTCCAGCTAATCTGTTTATATGCATGTAAATCACATCTCTAAGTGATATTTCTCCATTTAAAGGTTGCTTTTGAACATTTCAATGAAACATTTGTCTTAAATGTTGATTTTTATGGTGCTGGAATTGTGTATCCCTTCATAAATGATGCAAAAATCTGATAAAGGAGCTAACAAAATATGGCTTAGGATTTTGTGGATTCCGGGCAAGGCTTTTAATGGATCTGGCGGTTTTCTCATTTTTAGAATGTCTATGGTTGCAATCTTAGAGACAGAAACTTATAGCAGTTAGATATCCCTCCAGATGCTCAGTGTTTAGTCAAGGATGCTTATAGGTAAGCAGACGACCATGCTGATAGGTAAGCCTGAGGATGCTGATAGGTAAGCAGACGACCATGTTCTGTGCCGTACTGCGGAGGTTTGGTGCATAAAGATCACAGTGGGAAGGGCATAGTGAACCCAGCTGGCACTGCCAAAGGAGGGCAGGCTAATCCTTTGAAGAGGAGAGAAAAAGTGCCAAAACTAGGTAGAAAGGAAGGAATGCTATTCCCCAAGGGTTGTGGAGCCCTACAGAGCAAGCACACAGCTCTGACGTGCACAAGGCCCAGTTGGCATTGCACAGCGCCAAGCGAAGACTGTCTTGGAGAACTTAGTAGTAGCTGTTAGGCTCTCATCAAGCGAAATTTGCTCATCTTAATGCAAGCTAGAACAAAGAGAATAGCGCCTGAGAAGAGCAGTGATGTTAATCTGGGGTATGATGCAAGGGACTCTCGTCTTGAAGCCAGATGAGTTTGTGTGCTGGCCTTGACACTGTCTTCTTCTAGTTAAAAGACTTTTTATCCTTTGACCACCTAAGTGGAAAATAGGAATGATAGCATCTATCTTTTGGGGTTGTTGCCAATGACTCATAGGTAGATCAGAAAAGACTTGTTATGAAAACCAAGTGAGAGAAATCCCAGGTTGCTGTGAATTCTGCTTCTTGAGGTCAATATTGAATGAAACAATGGTTATGCATGCTCAGAAGTCTGAAATCCAGCACATTTTCTTGGAAAAATCTGTTGATGCTGTTTTCCAGCGTTTGTTTTAATTTGGCGTTTGAGTAATTGAGTTGGATTTTGTCTTTAATAAACATGCTGATTTTATCTCTCCAGCAATGCTTCCTTGGATACAGTGGAAGGGTTGGTCCCCAAAATAATAACAGTTATGAAAAACCACGAGACGTCATTGCCAGTACAGCTGGAGGCGCTGCGAGCTATTTTACATTTTATAGTGCCAGGTAAGTCACAAAATCGACTGTGCTAAGAGATAGCAATTTCAGTGGATCTTTGGCCCTACGTGAAATGGCAACTTTCTAAGCAAATTGAAAGGACCAGTTTTTGCCCACCGAATGCCAATCCCTCGCCTGAGCCCAATATTCTGAGTGAACGATAATGTGGAGGAGCCACTGAGATGAGTGTATAACAAAGCCTAGTAAGATCATCAGGTACAAAACATAGCTACAGTATAAAGCATGGAGTGCTTCTACTCCAGGGTAGGTGCTCGCTTCTGCTATTTCATTTCAGTTTCTGTGGTTGTGACTCGAGTTCAAGCCTGAGCCCGTTTTTTTTCCTTGCCTGAACCATAAGCAGTAGCTAACTTTCACACCTCATTTCTTGCTTTCTTTCAGTCCTTTTAACTCTGTGATTGGGCTGATTTTTCTCCATTACTCATCTGGATTTTACTGATTCCCCTCAGGGGCTTGCTTCCTCTCCGCTACCTCCTCCTTACGTTTGTTGTTTCCTTATTTGTCTTCCAAAGCCTACTTAAAACACCTGCTCCTGAATTTTTTCAACACATATTTATTAAAGTGTCTCTTATGTTCTGAATGCTGTGCTGCTCTTATGGCTTGAAAGCTGAATGAGGAAAAGCAAGAGCATAGTACTACAGGAGCTGAGAGGTACCCGGTGTGTCAGTTGTCAGCTCTGAGACAGTGAGAGGGCATGACAGGCGCACGGGATGTGAGTATGTTTATGGAGGCATGAATCATTCATTCAAAGGAGTGGGTCAGAGACGTGACAGCTGAGATTGACAGATGGGTCGCGTGGGCTGGGAGAGGGGAGGGAAGGACGTTTCAAGGAGAAGGTGTGGGCCCCAGTGCGGACTGAGGGGAAGACAGCTTGTGGGTGTGTGGGGAGGGCAGATGGAGGGCAGAAGCGGTGGATGTAGGGTGCAGTGCCGGGTGATATGTGCTTTTTACTTAAATGCAAATAAACTCAAATGTATTAGAGGAGTGTAGAACATGTGGGTTTGTGGCTGTGTGTAGCGCCAAGGCGTGGAGGATGCCAGGCAAGGAGGCACCAGATAGAGGGTGCCGGGTTGGAGGTCACTGGTTGGTTAGCGAGGCAGGGTAGAGGCCCCGGAACCAGGCAGGAGAGGATGCATCTGAGGGGCAGTTAGGTGCATTTTCTGGGACACTGACTGCTAAATACAATACTGCAAATACTTTTCTTTTTTGTTTTATGTAATTCCCAGTTTTTTTAAGTTGCTAATTTTTTCTTTCTGAAGTGAAATCAACTTAAATCTATTTTTTTTTCCCTGTGGTTATACAGGTACCTTACATTTCTGAGAATAAGAACATACCTATTATAAGGTTTTTTGTTTGTTTTTGGCCACACATGGTGCATACCTTAGTGCTAGCACTTGGGAGGCTGATGCAGGAGGATCATTGTGAATTTGAGGACAGCCTGAACTACATAGCAAAACTCTGTCTCAAAAAAAAAAAAAAAAAAAAAAAAAAAGAATAAAGAAAGAAAAGTTTTTTTAAGGACAGCATTGTTGAGTCATTTTTAAAAGAAGTTCCTTGTACCTTGAATAAAAACAACTATCCAGCCAGTAGTTTTTAATTGAATCATAATTATCAGTTAACTTCTGAGACATAATTTAACAGACATAGAATAAAAATATCACAATGAATTTTTGAATTTCATTTGCAGATTGTTCTTTTTTTTTTTTTTTTTTGTGGAATCAGGGATTGAACTCAGGCCCTTGTGCTTGCCAGGGAAACACTTACTCTACTGAGCTACCTCCCTGGTGCTGCAGATTGTTCTAAAACAGCACAGCATATCCTAAGAGATACCATTCTGATTCGGGTGGGAATTTTAAAAATAGCCAAAAGACATTCAGAACCAAGGCTGCTGATAACAAAACAATATGCTTTGAGTCCTCAAACAAATTTCAAATATAATTTTTCTTTTCTTTTATTGATCTTGAATAGGGCCAGAAGCCACATTTGTTAGGCAGTGAACACCTGGGTGGTCATGAGTGCCCTTGACAATAGTTGCTTTAGGGATTTATTTTACATATGAAAATACACATTTAGACACACTTTGTAGGCATATCACTATATAACTATGCTTGTATACTGAGTATCCACGGAGAGCAGACAATTCTCTGTGGGGCACAGCGTGAATAGTCTGTCCTGTGGCACCAGGTTGTACTGCACGCCAGGAGGCAGCATAGCGTGCTGAGCCGTGTTATGCTCCTGTCCTGTATTAGTCTACATGGAAATGAGTAACCCTGTAATGTCGATGTTGAGTGTAATTCTGGTTGAACATGTTGAGGTCCTGGGAAGGCATCTTGTGTATGTGCTTATGAACTAGATCATGTTCAAGTTTCCAGAGTAAAAAATTAGTGTTACTATCAATTTACATAATGCAGTATTCAATTCAGGATGAACTTTTGCATGTAATGTATGTCTCAAGATCTTTTCAGTGTAGTGGCTTTTTTTGTTTCTGGTACCGGAAATTGAACTCAGGACCTTATACTTGCCAGGCAGGCTCTTGTACTGCTGAGCTGCTTCCCAGACACCTTCTTTTTCAATTTAGTACTGTCCACTTTAATTTCTTTAGTAATAACTTATGTTAGACAGATATCAAGCTGGGGGCTGTAATAGAATAATAATAGAGACCCAGTTATTTTAATAAAGTATCATTTGACTTGTTCTTTCTTGACTTAGTTCTGGAGAAAATAATATGCAACTATTTGAGGAGGGGCACAGGCCAATAAAGAGTTAACATATAGGAGAGTAACAAGGTGTGCGAAACTGTATGAATAAGGGCAGTTGGAGGAACTGAGATCATTTAATCCAGAAAAGCAATAACCTGAAATATGAAAACTGTATTAAAATGTACTCATTTGCAGCTGATGACAATGATAGTGCTTAGCACCATAGAGGACTTAAAAATATCAGGCAGACATAGCAAGACCCTGTTTAAACACACACACACACACACACACACACACACACACACGAAGAAAAAGCAATCAGGCAGCTGGGCGAGGTGGTGCATGCCTGTAATAGTAGCACTTTGGGAAACTGAGGCAGGAGGATCGCAAGTTTGAGCCAAGCCCAAGCAACTTAACACTTTAGTGCAACCCTGTGTCAACAGAAGCAAAAGGCTTGGGGATGGAGCACCAGGTAAAAGCCCTAAACTTAATCCCGAGTACCACAGGAAGAAGGATTAAATGTTACTGAAAATGCTTTGTGTGTAAACTTTTAATTTTCACAGCAACCCAAAAACAGACGTTTCTTTCCTGCCTTCTTTTACTTCTTCACATTATACAGATGGTGAAACTGAGTTATAGAGATGTAGTAATTTAAGATTTCAGGGGCTGGGCAGATAGCTTGTCTGCTTTAATTTCTTTAGTAATAAATTATGTTAGACAGATATCAAGCTGGGGGCTGTAATAGAATAATAATAGAGACCCAGTTATTTTAATAAAGTATCATTTGACTTGTTCTTTCTTGACTTAGTTCTAGAGAATATAATATGCAACTATTTGAGGAGGAACACAGGCTTAGCTTGGCAGTCTAAGCGCTTACCTGGCAAGTGCAAGAACCCGGGTTTGATCCCTGGTACTGCATGCTGGGCCGGCCCTGGAACCCGAGGCGTGGTAGCACATGCCAGTAATCCCAGCACTGGGGAGGCTGAGACAGGAAGATCACTATGAGTCCTAGCTGTGTAGCAAGACTGCCGAGCTATCTCCACAACCCGTCACTCCTATTTCTAGTGAGTGATGGAAGGGCAATAAGCAACTTATAATTTAGGATGATAAAAATTGTAAAAATGAAAAATCATGATTAATTATTAATAATTATTTCTATAGTTTTAGATTTGAGAAAGATACTCTTTCAACCTAATTTTACAGGTACGTAGTGTTGTATAGCATTTTTTGGACTCATAGATTTTTCAATAGTGTTGGGATCCTTCAACTACAATGTAGGTTTATAAGTAGTATTTTTTAAAAATAATACGACTCTATAGTCTTTAGGTGTCTTGTAATTGACAAACTCCCCACAGTCTTAATACTGCAACTAAAATCTGTTTTCCCACCATTATTCCCGATGTTTTCATGTCTACATTTCATGTCTGACCATATTTCCTGTATCCACATAACATTTAACTTTTCCAAAGTTGTCTATTGTGGCATGAAAATCTCCTAAAATTTTAAACCAAAGCCAACTCCTATATAAGATTGTTTCATAAGATTGTTTTATGTGAGAAGAGTCCACTATCCCTAAGTAAATTCTTGTTTAAATTCAGTAAATGTTCATATGCATTGTATTGCTTGTATTCAATGATGAAATGCTTTTATAGATTTCTTAAAACTCAGTACTATTGCTCTGAGGAATCATTTACTAGAAAATGGTACCTGTGTTCTGTTAGGTACATTATGATAATTTTTCACAAATGACAATTTGTCCAGCGTTAATTCTTACATGAGAAGTAGGTACATGTATGTCTCAGTCACTTTCTACTGCTAGAAAAAAAAGGTTCCCATGCCTGCAACTGAGGGGGGTTTGTTTAGCCCCATTGTTCCAGTGGGTTCCCTCTGAAGTCACCTGACTCCAAGCGGAAGGAGCATGGTGCAGCATCCCGGAGGAGGAGACCAGAAGCACGGAAACAACAGAGGAGCTGGGGACAGGAGTGCACCCCCAGGGACCCACCTGACCCAAGCAGGCCCCACCTCCTAACGGCACCTAAAGTCATTAGTGGATTAATGCACTATTGGGCCAGTGCCCTGTGATCCAGTCCCCTCCGAAAGCCCCACCTGTGAACCCTGGAGACTTTGGGGGAGTTGATTTGAATCTGAGCCATAACATTGCATGCACATATATTTATTTCCTTGTTTACTTTTGCATTCAGGTATGCCAGAAGAATCCAGAGATGAATCTCAACGTAAACTGAATATGCTTAGGAAACAGTGTGTAAAGAATGATATTCACAAACTGGTCCTAGCGGCTTTGAACAGGGTATGTTGAATGTGGGTTTTCTGACTTTATGCTGTTAACTGCAATCTTAAATTCAGGGAGCTAGAAGGGTTTTTTTTTTTTTTTTTTTTTTTTTTTTTTTTTTTTGGTTCACTATGATTGTAGGACTCAAGATGCCAGCAGGGGCGTGGGACTGAAAGGATGTGTACGAAGTCTAAATCCAGGGAAGACAGGTGAACCATCAACTACACAGAGGGATGGTCTTCCTTAGATTGTTGGTAGTGTAATTCCTTGAATTTGCTTAATCTGAAAGACAACCAAAGACCCAGATATGCAAATAAATTTCATGAGTTATGTCAGGAACTATAGCTGCTGCTTGCTGTCTGTTCTCTCTGGCTGCTTCTGGTAAAAATTTCAACCCACAAAAGTACACCAGGGAGAACATTAGAATATGCTTGGATTTCCTATATTCTTTTCACTGCTGTACTCAGAGATAAACTGAAAAGATCTGCTGTGTACTGTTTCTTTCCATTTTTGAATGCATTTACCTGTCTATGTGCATAATTTGAAAGTGTAACGTAAGATGAACTCTTTCTTAGTAAAAATATGAGTAAATATTTAAAGAATGCTTAGGGTTAACGGTTTCATGAAAGCAAGATAATATGATTGCTTTTGCTTTGTTCTGCTGTAGTACATGGCCTCCAGAGAGATCACCTTTAAAATTCAATTTAAACTGAACTTTATAATGTAATGTTTATGATATGTGAATTGCTTGTATGGAAACTACACCTTGAGTAGAACAAAACATATAGTATAATGGATTGTTTACTTCTAGAAATATTTATTGGAAGTGAGTGTATGGAAGGAACTAGTTATGCGCCTGGAGGACAAACGTGAGTGTGCTTGTACTTTTCTGTCGTGGGTCTCGTAATCCGGCTGGATGAGTAAGGAGCACGCGTGAAACAGACATGTTACTGACATGAGCACGCAGCTGTACTAGGCTTGGGAACATATTCTAGGAACACGGAGAAAGAAGCAGTTCGTTTTATTCCTGGTGACAACTGATGAGAAGCAAGAGGTGTCAGAAAAGCTTTATCGATCACTCTCACTTCAGTCTGCCAAACCTGACTGCGTGAGCGGGAAGATGTGGAGCAGGACGCTCTGTCCTAGGCCTTGAGTTCCACGCTGCATCCTAGGAGACTGAGAGCTGCTCTTTTCCTAAGCCAACACCCGAGTAATGACACACAACATCTCGCTCCACAGGGACTATTACTTACAGGCGAATAGTCATGGTCACAGGGAAACAGAAGAGGCAGCATTTATTTGGGAACGCTCCAGTGTTGTCTCCCTGACACCCCATCGTGACTGAGAAACAAAGACTAAAAGTTGAGTATAAATAGCTTTGCAGTTCTGTCACTGGAGGTCTTACTTGAATGATTAAAAGCGTCGGAAGTTTAGGTGCATGTATCACAGGAACAATGAGTTGTGGCAGTCTAAACTAACAGCAGAATTCTAAATAGGATAAAACTTGAGATTCAACTATGAGGGCCGGCCAAACAGCTCAGCAGATTAAAGCACCTGCAGGCAGGCGCAGGGCCGAGGGGTTCGATCCCCGGGCCTGCCATGCTGGCCTTGCCCCTGAGGTGCACTGAGATGGCAGTTGAGGCTGGGCGTGGTGGTGCATGCCTGTAATCGTAGCTTTTAGGAGGCTGTAAACAGGTGGATCACTACAGGTCTGATCTAGTAGTGAGATCCTGAACATCCTGTAGACCCTTCCCTAAAAAAAAAAAAAAAAAAAAAAGATTCAACTATGATCCACAAATTTTTTACTATGCACTGCATGCATAAAATATATCACTAAAATTCAAGTGGAAGCTAAAATCACTGGGCGCATCCACGTCTTGCCTGTGCCAGATCCTTTTACCATTCCTCAGATGACAGCTTTTAGTCACTTGCCCCACAGAGGTCTGTTTCTCCACATTCATTTCTGAAGAACAACATAGAAAATACACCCTTGATAGTTTGGCTGCTTCTGTTTTGTATATAGTGACACCACTACCTTCTTTGTTCAAGAGACCCTAGAAGGTAAAACCAGGCTGATGAAATGCTCACAAGTCAAAAGAGCTTGTGGACTTCACAAAAACCTTGAAGTTACTGGGCATGGTGGTTCCTGCCTGTAAGTGGAGGGCTCTAGGAGGCGGAGGGCTACAAGTTCAGACACAGCCTAGGCAACCTAGAGACATAGCAAGACCCTGTCTCAAAAATGGATAGATAGATAGATTGATTGATTGATAGATAGATAGATAGATAGATAGATAGATAGATAGATAAAGGCCTGTTGATGTAACGTAGTGCAGAGGCCCTGGATTGAAGCCCCACTACTGCCAACAACAACAACAATAACAACAACAAAACAACCAACCAACCAAACAAGAAACCTTAAAGCAATACATTCCTAGGTTAAATATTTAAGGCTTTTATTTCATCTGTTGAAGAAAGACAACATTTGCAAAAGCAATAACATGGACAACAATTAGAAATAACCTGTGAGTAGAGTTAAAAGAAGCTTATAGGGCTGCTCTACAGAAACTACGAAACTCAAAGGCACCACAAAGTTAAACATACAAAATGCTATGCCTTCTTTGGTGAGTGACATTTTTAAAAAAGAAAAATAATCTCTATTTACATATTCTTAATAAAACCAACAATAATATCTTCAAGTAGGTAAGCTAGTATAAAATTAATGAAATAATTGTGTGACCCAGAATGTAAAATTAAATGAAAATGTTCAATTGATACATATAACCCAATACTGGAGGAAAAATAATTTATGCAATAATTTGTGTTAGCTTGTCAGCCATTTGAGGAAAAAAAAAAGGAAGCTGAAACTAGGTGAATCTTTTTGTCAAACATATTGTAAGTGGATGAAATGTAATGCTAAAAATAAAACTGATATACACATATGAAAAGATTTTTAACTGTGTTCATTATGAATGTAAATTAAAAAGAAAGACCTTTTGGAGGGAAATTTGGTAATATTTGTTAAAATTAAAATGGGCATGATTTCTAATGAGAGATTCCATCCTCAGAACTTATGAAACAGATTTCCTTGAATATATACACAAATATTTTTCGACAAGAATGGTCATTTTGGTGCAATTTATAATAAGAAAAATATGGCAGCTAACTAAGTGTTTACTTGTTGGCCATTAATATTGTTTGAAAAATATTTTAGTTTTCCATTTTCTGGTATTTTGTAGTACAGTATTTTAGACTGTGTGACTAGCTTTGGTTAAGGAATTACAACTAGAGATTATGTTAGTCACTTCTGGGACAAATACTTAATGGCTGGTGAGGCATCTTCTAGAACATTCTCTGAGGCACTGTGACCTGTGACAATTAAAATAGTGGTTGCTGTATTGGCAGAAATCTCTGACTGACAGTAATGAACATGGACCTTCCTAAGTTGCAACACACATGTATCTTGAGTAAGAATTGAGCTTGCTATTTTTACAGCCTATGAAATGGTAAGAGTTTTACTCCTTTAATCTGTCCTAGTAGTCTAATGGCCATCAATAAGACTAACCAAATCGATTATACTACTAGCTAATTATGTAATACTGGATAGAAATAGATTAAAAGGCATAAGGTGCTGAGCGTGCTGCTAAAGAAGGATGCCAAGTTTCTCACGAATATTTTTGTATTCCCTAGGTGTCACTGTTTTCTTCATGTATGCCAACACACTATTCACATGATTGCTTGAAATTAGTATGTTTCTACTTTCTTATGTCTGGGTCTACCACCTACAGACTGTGCACTCTGAACAAATTACTTTATATCTTAATTTCATTAAGTATGAAAGGGAGATAATAAATGATTCTTTACTCGGAGTTGATTTTAGGAGATATTTCATGAGAAAGGGTCAGTGCAAGACATAGTACATAGTGTGAACTCAGTAAATACTGATGTTACTGCTATTGGATACAAAAATATCTTTTGACCTCTGGCTATAAAAGCTGAGAATATCAGAGTACTCACATTTCTACTCTCTCTTGTGTTTTCCCTACAATTTGTTCGTTGGCCTCCTCCTCCTCCT